AATGATTTTTGATAGCCAGTTCATTTGCAATTTATCAGTACTTGCTTTATCTTAAAGCAAAAGCCACTAAATGAAATTAAGTCGGAAATTTTCCCATGCATTGAAGAAAATACAAAAAGAAAGTTCGAAAAATTGAAATTATCATTAAGCAAAATCTTAACATTTCCATATTCGATTATATATATATATATTTATTTGCTTTAAACGCCATCATGACACAAAAGAAATCTGTCAACTATTTGCTCAAATTTTTGCACAGTTGAGTTTGAGTCACAGGAAATATCATTCCTAAAAATACACTAGCGATTGTTTAGTGAACGGTACCAGAAATTGTTTGTCCTTGAATTCATCAGCAAAAAAAAAAAAAAAAAAAAAAAAAAAAAAAAAAAAAGATATTTTATCTTTGTTTTGTCAGGACAAGCGCCTGTCCTTCAAACAGCAAAGGGTTTTTTTTTTGGTTGTTTTCGTTGCTTTAGTTTCAAACAGCATCTTTTGGGTTTCTTATCTTAATTCTTTTCATTGTGAAAGCTAAAATTATCAGTCTTTTAAAGGTGCGACTAATCAATACACTCTTAATCTGCATGAATATCCTTCATTATTTGTTGTGCAGCAACTAATTATGACAGCTAATTCTAAACAGACATATTCATTGCACGGTAATGGGGGTTATGAAATCAGCTCAATCCAACTGAGCAACTTCATTTCATTATTCGAGACAATGTTCAATTTGCATATATATTCCTTATTTTGTAGTCAAAACTATCACTGTAAAGGGACATTTTCATTTATTATCATTCTGCAATGGTATATGGTTTCTAGGATGTCAATATTATTCTTGTAAGATATTACCGTTTCATCAATTTTTTATTTAGTGGATTTCCACTTTCAGTCTCTTTTTATACCCTACTACTTTCGTTGTAAATTTATTTGCAAATTTTTAAAATCTCGCTCTGGAATATTTTCTCTTCATTCCTTTTTAGATTTATGAAAAGTCCCTAACTTCTTTTTAAAAAATTATTATGTAAAAAAGAACTATTTTCTTGAACGATATAATATTACACACATTTTGAGCAAAAGATGCGATGCACTCAGATAAGAATGAAATCGAACCAGTAATAATTATTGATATATAAATATACGTGAGAATGCAAATTTCGAGAGCAAATGTTCTTACATAATAACGAGAATAAAGTTCCTGCAAATGAAAAAATATATTAACAGTAAGTTGTTACAAATTGTGACATGTCAAAATAATTTTAATCGATAAACTTCAGAGAGCTTATTCAATGATATAAATAAATCATCCAACAAGGCATTCAAATTGAAAATCAATTAATATAAATTCGATCCATTCAATGCATCAGTTTACTAAAGATATTGAGTAATATACTGCATTCATCATCTTTGCTATTCATTATGTCATAACAAGCCTTAAATCGAAGCTATGATACCATTTATCCTATAATTATTTGTTTCCTCGTCACCCAGACAATTAAAAATGTTCAGATCGATAGCCTGATTCTTCACATTACCTCTGGTTGTCATCTATTGATTGTACATTGCTTTGTTTTTAAGGGCTGTGTTTATTGTCGGTAGTTTGAATTTCATTGCAAAACTCGTCGGACTACAGAGATTGTCATTTACATAGATCGCTGTAGGCTGACATGTGTATAGAACAATCAGTCTGTAAAATAAACAAATATATCCGTCTAATACGTCCTAGTAAAAACAACTAATTACTTGTATAAATGAGTAGCTTTATTTCATATCTACTTTAATTTTCAGTCAATTTACAGAAAAGCTTTACATTGGGTTGGCTTCAAACTAGCAGAAATGTGATTTTCAACAGACCTGTTTATAACTTAGCTAGGTAGAAATATGTTATCTTTTCAAAAGGTTTATATTTTAAATGAAATTAAGTATTTTTCTGATACATTTTAACATTTTTTCAAGGATGAACTCTGTTATGTTTATGATAGAACCATCCTTCTATATGCTTAAATATCTAGCATCAGCAAAAATATCAGAGTAAAAATGTTGTTTTATTCTTATATCAAGTTCATCCTACCCGAGACATTCAACAAATGTAAAAATTTAAGGGCACATGAATAACGGACTACTTATTGTACCCCGTTATTAGCAGGTCTTTTTGTATTCCTATGAAGCAAAATTTATTCAAAAATTTCTACTTGAAAAGAAGTCTCTTTCTTGGCCATCAATTCGACAATTAGATACACGGTGACTTTTTACCAGTTAACAATAATTAACAATAATTAACAGTAATTAACAATATTCATTTTCAGTCCTACATTGATTCCATATCCTATTGAAATAAGACACCACAGAGTCTCACACATCTGTTTCTTATTTAGATGTTCTACTAGAAAAAGAAATTGATGTCAAACTACCTGTAACAACTAAACTTTACGATAAACGTGATGACTTCAACTTTTCCATCGTCACTTCCCTCATTTATGTAGAATTTTCATCTGCATATGGAGTTTATTGTCTCCCAGTTGATTCGATACGCAAGAGCATGTTCTACACAGGAACAATTTCTGAAATGAGACAGGCTACTGGCAAATAAGTTGAGACAAGGATATCAAAAGTCCTGTTTTATGTCAACAATTTGCAAATGCTATGGTCGATAAAATGACCTTGTTAGCAAATACGATCTTACGTTAGGTAGAACATTGACTCGCGTCTTTCATACAAATTGTTAGGCCATCATTTTCACATTAAATTGTCAACAGATTTTATCGGTACCCGATCATGACAAGGGGGCACACGGCAAATTTGATCGATCGACAGGGGATGCTCACACCTCCGTGGAACCTAATTCCGCCTCTGCTTTCAGAGGTCCTGTTTGCTTCGCTCACATTGTTTATTGTTATTAGACTTTTTGAATGAATACTCTTTGTTGTCTTAACAATTCGTTATTCAGTCTTATGTAAATATTCAGACCATGTAATATTTTGAAAGGTTTTCCTTTTTGATTTCATTTACTCTCAGTTACAAACATTCATCCAGTCACATGCTGTTTAAACATACGGGGTTGTTTTTTTTGTTTTTGTTTTTGTTTTTTTGTTTGTTTTTTTTTTATGTTCCTTAGTTTGTATAACCTTGCCAAGGAGACTGAGCTCGTTTTTTGCTCAAAGCAGGCGAAATGAGAACACATGTATTAGAATGAATAATGTCATTTATTTTGTAAATGACGAAAAGATATATACAACACAGGGGGTCATACATAAACATGTAACTATAGTAATAACACATGTGGTGGTGAACACAATCATGACCCCCTATAATACTACATATGATAATAAATATCTACACAAAACAACAGATAGGGGGCCAAAGGACTAGAGATATTATGCAACACATGTACAAAAAATACATGACAGACCCCCTACTGTAAACACATATGTAAAAAATAGTAGCATCAATAAACTGCCTGCCCACAAAAAAGGTGGGTAGCCTCATTTTTTCTTTTTTCTTTTTTTTTCTTTTTTGTATGAAGTAAAAAAATTCATCTTCTCCACCTTTTCCTTTTAGAAAAGGGATAAATGTTACATGAAAAACTAATTAATATATGAGTGTTGAGAGGTAATTTTATCCTGTTCGTTAGAAAATTGACTGGTCTGCACATCCTGTGCTATTTTTGTGAAGAATTCTTGAAAGGGGACAAACATTGATATATGTATTACGATTCCCTGTCGTATCTTTTAAAAGGAATGATTAATATTTCTGAAATAGTTTCTTTTTCCTGCAGAGTAAGAAGTTGAAAACCTTGTATCGTGTTAGAAAAAAGAAGTACTTACGATTAACAAAAAATGGGCCCTAATTTTAAAATGAGAAGTTATATGGTTTAATAATAAAAGCTTAAATCTGTAGAGAATAGGAAGCAAAATTTTGTAAACAGAAATATTCTTGAATATTCGTCTGCTTGTGATTCTTCAACTTAAATATGACTTGTTTATGAAATTAATCAAAAGTTGTGCATAAGGAAACTTTTGATTATCATTTCCAACGTCACCAATTTTTACATTGTATTGTTTCCCTCCATGTTGTATGTGCAGCGGTGACCTGATATAATAGCTTTATCAAAATATATTCAGTTTAAATAGGTTTATATTTGTTGAGTTCTATATTCCGTTGATTCCTTCACAGTGCGCCTTAAGAGTGCTATGTTGAAGGAAATTAGCATTTTTAATTTGTTTTTTTTTTTCTGCAGGACACATAGAGAACGTTGGATCATTATGCAATGCTGATTAAAGTAACATTTGTAAAAAAAATTGTTTGAACAAAACATATCTCTCCCAGTTTGATACTTCAGTAGCTACTAAAAAAGTAGGGTAGCCTATCGTACCTTGTTATTTAACTGACCGAATTGTAATCATCAAAAATAGAAGAAAGTATAATTAATTCAATTGGAGTCTTATACAATGTTGCTCGACCAATGTTGCAATGACTTTTTTCGTACAATTGATATGGATCTATTGAATTTTTCTACTTGTATCCCCAATAAAAATGCGAAACCAGGAAATGGTTGCCACTTGGCTACAAAAGACTGTGCTTTCTTGCTCTCTGAGATGGTTGATAACAAAACTTTTATTCGTCTGTTCGGGGAAAACAATAGACTTGTTTATTGATTTTGTCCATAGAATGTCCGACATAACTTTCTTTAGCTCTGTGCATGCATTTTTTCCTCTGTATTTTTTAAAGAGAGGTTATTGGTCACGTGGTATACAATGTAATTCTATATCCGTCATATACCACAGCATGTAATTAGTAAATTATGTATACCGAGCTATGCGAATGATAACAGAATAAAATGTATTTTAAACATCGATTTATATAATAAATTATTTAATCAAAAACTTTGTCTTTCTGTCTAATGCGGCAATAATGTTGCCTTAACAAACACAGTATAAAATTTATTGTGCAGTAAATGCAACAAAAACCAGACCTACTGTACAATGTAAACTTTTTTATTTCAGTGGAAATGTTTCATTTGCTGAAGAGAGGCATTAGGACATGCATCCTTCTACAGCTACAGTGGATGTGGTTCTACCTATGCATGATCAATGGTAAGTCACTTTTTTTATTAATAATAAGTCATTTCTTTTTTAGTGGTTATAAACTTTCTACCGTTGGTAAGACTCTCTGTATCAGTTGTAAATATGTCACTTTGTATCAGTGGTAAATAAGTTACTTTGTATCAGTAGTAAATAAGTCACTTTGTATCATTGGTACATGTAAATAAGTCACTTTGTATCAATGGTAAATAAGTCACTTTATATCAGTGATAAATAAGTCACTTTGTATCAGTTGTAAATAAGTCATTTTATATCATTGATAAATAAGTCATTTTGTATCAGCTGTAAACATGTAACTTTTATCTGTGATACTATTAAATAATTCCCTTTGTATCAGTGTTAAGTCACCAATTTAATCAAGACTAAGTCACTTTTGTTTGAGTTGTAAGAGTTTGTTTAAGTTTGAGTTGTAAGTTGATTTTTATTAATGGTATGTCACGTTGTTTCAAATGAAGATATTCACTTTGTATAAAGTGATTGGAAGGAAATACAGTGTGGGGTCACAATTAGCGATCAAAGTTTTACATAGGAATTTATAGGATGTTTTTTTAATCGTCCAAAGATCAGCAAAGCCATGATTATTCTAGTCATATTTATAGGGAAGCATCCTTAAATACTATAAATTCAAATTTCTTCAGATCATGACGCCAAGGGGTAGAGTAGGGCCACAATGGGCGATCAAGATTTTTTTCAAATGTATAGGAAAAATCATTCAAATTTTCTTTTTTTTTAGAACAGCAAAGCCATGATCAGTCATATTTATATGGATGCATCTTCAGGTTGTAAGATTCAAGGTTGTTCAAATCATGCCCCCCTGGGGTTGGGGGGGGGGGGGCATGATATGTGAACAAAGTTTGAGATATGAATATATGGGGGAAAAACTGCAGGGTCATAGTGATTCAGGTGAGCGTTGTGTCCCATGGGTTTCATGTTTAGTTTACTTTGCATTAAATGTAGTCAGAAAAGTCGTAAATGTCTTAATTAACAGATGAAGAATAATTGAATGCTGCTATAGTCTAGATGCATGTTCCAGATTTTGTTCTCTTCAGAGAGTAAATATGTGAGCTACAAACTGAACTAAATAATCTTATTTATTGTAAGTAAAAGTTAAGAAACAGATGATGAAATAAAGAAAAAAAAAACGACGAATTTTCTTAACGTAGTGTACACTGTTATATTGTATTGGAATGTAATAAAATACATAAGAGAAGTAGTTTAATGAAATGATTCAAAACGATATTCAATTACTTTTTAGCGACCCTGGCATTTTCACAGTGTATCTTAATGCAGCGTGCTTCTATGCGCAGCTTTACTGAAATTAAAACTGTAGCAAGTATAGCCGTTTAAAAACATTTCAAATGAATATACGGTGTATTTTATTTTTACAATTATGACAAAACTCTTCAATTAATTGGAAGTTACTTTAACGGAATGAAATTTTAGTAATCATATTATCATGTTCATGTTAATTAAAAATTAATGTAAGAACTAACTTGTTTCTTTTTGTAATTTAATTTGAACTAAGTTCTATTTTGTTTTGTTTTTGTTTGTTTGTTTTTTTTACGTTTTTAAAGACACCTGTGGTAAAAAGAGTAGCGAGTGTAAAATCAATTACAGATAGATTGACGGCTACATAGAATACAGACACATACGGTAGAAAGAGTAGCGATTGTAAAATTATTTATAGACTGACAGCTATAGATAGAATACAGACACCTACACTGTAAAAACAGTAGCAATTGTAAAATTATTTACTGAGTGACAGCTTATAGATAGAATACAGACACCTAAGAGCAATAATGAGGAGATTTTAATAGGAAACAAACATTTATAAAATATTCACTAGGGGCCCTTCAGAGACAATAAACTAAAATATTGAATTGAACATGCTGAATAGAAAATAATTCATCCTTTCATATTGCAAACAAATAGCAATGTGCTAATATTTACATTAAATCAAATAGAAAAATGTATATGTTTGCATAAATATAGACACACAATCAAGAACAATGATTAATTATCGGGATTTTGTCATTTTTTATACCCGTGAATTGCTGCTTATAAACTATACTAGACGGCGAATAAATTTTTTTTTTCGAAGTCTTGAACTCAATATTACCTATAAATTGTCTGCAAGTGAAAAGCATTTATAACACTTTTCTTCTACCTTTTGATCCCAGCAGTTTAAACAATATTGTTATGATTTTGTGCAGTATGTTTCTTCCAAAATATATATAAGTGTTTGTGAGGAAACTTGCAACAAATAGAAACAAACATGAAATTTCGACAAATATGCTTCCCAATATTTTATGATGCCAGTCATGTTTATTCTGAAAACAAGTAATTGCATATAATTCATAAATATGTTTAGGTCTTTTATATCAAGTCAGAAATTGCTCCAATTAAATGCTTCTTTTTAAAATGACGTACAATATCTTTATCTCTACAGGGAACTTATTTTGATATATGAATTACCATCAACCTAAATTAAATCAGCATCAGCATTCAACTAGCATATAACATCTGAAAAGCAGCATTACCAGGATCAGCAAACAAAGGATCGAACTAGCATAACTAGCATTGACCTACTAATAGCAGCATTGACCTATAAATATAAGAAAATCGACAATTTTATTTCTCAGTACAATAAATAGTAAACATGAAAAAAATGGTCTAAAAATTTAGAGTATTAATGTAAAAAATACAATGAAAAATTTTCTTGTTAAGCAATTTTAATGCTTTAAATTGTAATGCCGAAATACAATTATCGACTTCCAGTAGCATAATGCTACTATTAAAATTGACATAGATAGAAATAACAAAATTTAGCATCAGACGAAGGATCCGGATAGAATATCTAGCATTAATCAACACATGAAGGAAACATTCAAATTAGCATGCAAAGGATTTAAACAATTCAGCATCGATGCTGTAACAAAATTTGTTCCTGGACTGTCTATAAATACATGTATCGCTGTTTTCAGTTAATCAAGAATATAAAATCCCAAACAAAACAAACAAAAATATTAAGTAAAATTAGAAAAAACGACAAAAAAACGACAACAACAACAAAAGTCCCCTCCCCCCCCCCCCCAAAAAAAAAAAAAAAAATTACAAAGATAAATTGACAATAACTAAAGAATAAATTGATAAAAAAGTAAACTGTAGCGAAAAAATTATCTAATGCATATTTTAAAGTATGAATGATAGATACTTAATGAAGTCATTTCCGGGGGGGGTTGTTACTTTTTTTAATGAGGAGTATAGAAAAACATGTGTTTTACTTATTTTGGCTGAAATACGGTTTAAATAATATCGAAATGTAACTCTGACTTAGTTAGGAGAAAGCTTTCCAATCGCTAGAATTTATTTTTTCAGAGTTGTTTCCCAGCCAAGCGTTTCCGATAACTACAGAACAACCAGATTTATATTGGTGGCCAGACATCGAATTTACCGACACAAACATCTCAGGTAACATTCATGTACGTGTAAAACGATCCAACGACTCGGCACCTCCTCCCAAACAATATGCGAATGCAATAGAGGAATTTTACGCAGATCCCAATAACAGGGCCATGTACCTAGTTCTACCACTGATCGTTCTTATTTATGGGGGGTGCAGTTCTATCTATTGTATTCACAAATGTTGCCGCTACGTCAAACGAAAGAAATTAGAAAAGGAAATGCAATCAAGGGAACGGTTAACTTCTGAAACTGAAAGTTGTTCTGGAATAGAAGATACAGAAGAAAAATTGCATTTTGAACCAGAGAGAGAATCATCACCTGTATATAAAGAAAATATACATATAACAGAAAAGAAAAACTCTCCACCTCCTGCTTACGAACAAACAAGACAAAAGGTCGAAGCTATGCCACTTGAAGATGTTGAAGAATCTAACGACGCACATCTCAATAAGATAGAAAACATTCAACATAAAGAGACTAGTTTTATTGAGAGAAAGGATAACGGACAAGTGGTTGAAAAGATCAAGACTCCCGAAGTGAGCAAAAATACTCCTCGCCGAAATATCGACTCACGATCTTCTAGTATGATGTCATCTATCAGGCCAAAGCCATCGCCACCGCCAGCTTATGAAAAAAGGACCTCACCCGATGGAAAGTCATCAAAGGGCAAGGAGCTGTTTGAATTAACACCAAGAGACATTGAAGACATTTTGAATTACTACAGCGACAAGAAACACATGCCTGATGTGATCCCAGATGATACAGAAAATGTTGTTCCATTGAGAAAGAAAGTAACGAAATGGAAGCACAGAGTTTTTAATGGGTAAAAATAGCATCAGATGAATACTTAACCCCAGAGAGAAGCAGGAAGCATTGTAATCTGGAATTTGTCATTTTGACCGCATTATGAAAACTATGCATTATGAAAACTATGTCTTTTCACTGTACTGAAATTTAAGACACCACCCATTTGCTTTTTAGCGATCAGACAATGGATCAGATGTTCCATAACTATCACGTCAATCGAACAATTTAACCAACGGTATATGATTTTTAAAGATTTCTTTGTAGTGGTGTTCTACAGAAAATTTATATTCATCAACCTGCAAATATATCAATTAAAGACATACCAAGTATTGTTATAAACAGTTGATCACTATCCGTTATCATGTCAATCTGTTTCTGATTTGGTATCTTTTAGCACTTTTTTAATCATGTGAATAGTTTGCATTATGCAAAAGTGTTACATTTATATTTTGATAATGTATTTAGAATTTTATCCTCTGTATATTATTTATTAACAGAAAAAAAGTAAAAGGTCAGTATTTCATGCAGTATAAATGTATTTATCAACTAAATGTAATGTAAATTTCAAAATATACTATTGGCAAAACTACACAATCGCCAGGGCTTGGATAAGGTCGTCCCATAAGCTCTAGTCTGAAATCAACCAAAATTCCCAATCCGATGATGTGATCGGGTGTCTTAAGTAAGAAACCCAGTGCTTTGAGCCTTTCGGACATTATGGATCTGTATTTGTCATAGTTGTTTTTGAATGTAAAGTTTGCAAAACCGAATCCAGTCCTGTGCATGCATATGAACACTTACAGGCTTGATTTAACCAACATTCCGTCCAAATGTTTCATTTAAAACACACACAAAAATTATGATGAGTTATATTTGTAGACAGTTTTTTGAAAGCTGAGGTTTTTTTTTTACAGTGTTGCATTTTCTTTTTCTTGTTTTCTCTTATAAAGAATAAGGAATCGAAATAAACGAATGCTTGGAATGAAAGTAACATTTAACTTTAACATGTAATATTTTTTTGAATCTTAGATTTTATCCCTAGAATAAAACCGGATTCCTACTTTTATTTCAATTTTTTATGATGAATATCTCAGTCAAAATCATTTGTCTTAGATACTTGTTCAAGGTGAAAAACGTAACAAACACTTGAGAACGTCAAAATAAAGACACATGAATTTTGTAATACAACACTTTATATTTCAATGAACGTTTGTTGAATAAAAATTGCATCATGAATCGATTTTCTTGAAAACTTGTATTATATTACATCAGAGTCAACCCCCCCCCCCCAAAAAAAAAAACCCATAAACAATGATATTTTATTTTCTTGAAAGTATATGTCTGTGATAAAGCTTTTGTAGACATTTATTTTTTAACTATTGTAAATAAATTGAAACATTTTTATGTAATCTGCGAATTATCAGTGTTCAATTTACTTAGAAAAACAATGCACATATGCTTAAAAAATTATATATGTTATATTTTTCACATTTATTTTGAATGTAGAGTGACAGAGAAAAGGAAAGCTTTTTTTTTGTTCTTTATAACTGGATATTACGATACAGATAATTTTTTCATAGTTTTGCTGTAAAAAGGTATGGAAAAAGGTTCATATAACCATTCAGAAACGAAAAACTATATTAAGTAGGATCAAACTTTCCTGTATAAATTCACCATACCAAAATATTTCATTGACAGTGTTATGAGAGTAAATGTTACTTACATAAAAATAAGTTGCTTTTTTATTGAATTTTGTGCGTTATTATTACAAAGACTTAACTGTTACAGTTGTAAAATACATTTCTGGAGGAAATTAATGGGAATTGATAAAATAAGATATGCACTTTACTTTTACTCACTTAAAACTGTCCGATACACTTAAAGACTTGTCAGTTAGAGTAGAAAAATTCAAAACGATTGCTTCTTCCAATATTGAGAGATAATTTATCACCAAAATTATGATATATATATATATATATATATATATATATATATATATATATATATATATATATATATATATATATATATATATATATATATATATCGCATCGCTAACCCTAACCATATTCCTAAACCTTAATGTATCGTGTTATTTAAATGAAAAAGATGAAGATAACTGTGATCATCGTCGGATACTATATAACATTACGAAACATAAACAGGACAAAAACACGGACCCCTAAAAGCACCAGTGTGGGATCAGGTACATGGGGGAGTTAAGCTACCCAAGTCCACCAGTAACACCAAAGGATAGATTATATTGACATGTGTCGATCATACCAATAGGTAGCTTCTTGTTTTACACTAGATTTGACCACACATTAATGCTTTTACCTGAACAATACAGAGGGCTCACGGCTGATGTCACCTGTGGAGTGGGGATGCTCACTCCTCCTAGACGCCTGATCCCACATCTAGTTTTTGCAGGGGTCCGTAATCTTGTCCTGTTCAAAAATAGTATTGTTTATACAGGGTTAATGAGATTGATTAAATTGCGCTTTCTTCGCCTTTTCACTTTGCCTTTTAACTATATGATCTCTAAAAATTATCTTACATTGGCATCAACTAGCTTAAGTTCATTAAATTAAAAATTCCAAAGATTAGAATTTTACAGGCAAAAAGACATAAAACATGTCACACCCAAGTTATCTCCTATCTACAGAGATACGTAATAGCTCTTTTAAACAATATCTATTTAAGAAGAAATAAGACTGACAAATCAGACAAATTGGCCGGCAATTTTATCAATCTTTGCATCTGCATTGCAATATTTCAAAAAGTATCATATTATTCTCGTAGAATACATATGTGAATGTGTATATTGCTGTACATTTATTTCTATTTTGAGAAAAAAAAACCATTCTGCTCATATATCAATTATTTAAAAATAAATCAAACTATGAAGTACATTTTGAAAATAATTCTTCTCATTATTACATAGCAACAGCTTCAATGTGTCAACTTAAATCGGAGAAAGCCATGAATAATGTAGAGGTATCAGGAGACTGTGTCCACGGAAGCGGAACTACTGAAATGAGAATTGATTCTCATAAAATTCTTGGCGTTATAATTCTGTTCATAATGAAATCTTTTCGAATCGTCTCTTAATCTGTGCCGGCAATTGTCGCAATTATAGTTGACGGTACATATCTAATGATTTTTTTTAATCCCTGTGTGTAATTGCTATTAGAAAATCCTAAAATATAAACATTGTCTTTTTAAGGATTTGAAAATAACAATTGGTAAACTTATTTGTGCCTAAGTTCACAACAAAGATCAACACTCATGTATGAACAGTTGTTATACTTTCCAGTAAATTATGAATATCTATTATAGATAGATGTACTTAAATCTTTTATGTATATCTTTCCTTTTTTTCTGCCTTAAACTAATATTTTACTTTTCCTTGCATTATTCATGATATTGATATACACTGACAGAGTAGTAAAAATTATCTATCTATCTATCTATCTATCTATCTATCTATCTATATATATATATATATATATATATATATATATATATATATATATATATATATATATATATATATATATATATATATATATATATATATATATATATATGATTGAAATATCATATATGTACTCTATAATTTGTAAAAACAATTTACAGTAGTTATCTGAAAACCGACAAAGTCGTTAGTTGCAATAAAATTCTTAGTCTTATATTAGCAGACAAAGGCATTAACATACGTACTTTTAAGCGTTATATCTTCTTTAATTTAGAACTTAATGGTTGATATGATTAACTAACGTAATATTTTTCTTCTGATAAATTGTTCTACTTATGCTTTACACGTGACATCAAAGATTTACTTAGGAGGATAATACTGGCGATTACCACGGCTCCAGTGGCTGAAATGATGAGAGACCAATGGAACTAGAGGATATCCTGGAATGACCTTTGTTCTCTTGTTTAAATACTTTAATATAGGAACTTTCACTTTGATACTTTTGGATTAGCTAAAACGTTTGTTTTTTATTACCATTTTTACTAGGTAATCAGATAAACTGTGTCGGGTTCAACATCTTAACAAAGTGAATTGGTTCAATATTCTGGAAGAAGATTATCAAATTCAATTTTTGGCTTAAACTTGACTAATTAAAGTCTTTCGATACTTCTTTGAAAAAAAAAAAAATTGGCTTGGTGAATTATTCTACAACTGTATAACATAGCGAATAGCAACCGATGTGATTGATTTGATATGGAAAAAGAAATTTTTGCCGTCTACAAATATCATTTCTATATTTTTTTTCCGAGTGACATTTTGAAAAGGATATTAAGCAATCAACACAGACAAGCATTTGTTTATTTAAAAACTTTATTCATAAAAACAATGAAAACAATACAAATACTAAATTTTAATAGGACCTGTGCATACTGTCCATTTAAAGCAATAAAGAAGTTTCTAAATATATTGATCAGACATTTTGGGGCATATGTATTGGCTGCACAGTCTTGACAGATACGTTAACTATCGATATTTTATCTTCATTTAATCTTTCAAGTAAGAGATTAAGGGCATCGTTCACTTGTTTACATTGTACTTGTTTTATGTTGAAAGCCTCTTTCTATTTAAAAGTGGCAACTGATATTAAATGTCTTTCAAAGCACCTTTATAATTTTATCATGAATGAATTACAATGAATTACACAGTGTAATTACCATTAATTAGTATTGACCTAAACCAAGGGCTGAGCAGTCCAAACTACATTGTAAGTTAATGTACTGAAGCCCTGTTGGTCCTATCATAATGGAGGTTTGAGCTAATATTGACATGTCGAGAGTGTCTACAGCAGTATCTTTTAAGCGATATGGATTTAAGTTTCATCGTGTAACAAAGCGTACCCCACTTAAAGTTAAGCTATCTATCACAACCATTTTTTAAGTTCAATCTCATTCAAAAGAATTATATTTACTACAAAATTATTCTACTGATACAGTATGAAACCTTCATGGTGAATTTGTCATTGTTTGTTTTAATAATGATAATTCAAACCATTAATTTTTTTGAGGCTTGGGGATATTCAGTTGTTGTCAATAAAAAAATACTATTAGGCGAGATCCACCCTAACACATGTAATATCATTAGTGAATGCCCCGGAGGTTAAAGGAGTTTGGTGGCTGACGACCAATTTTAAGAATTTTTTCTGCTTTAAGTATGAGAATAAACCTAAATCAAAGCGAAATTTCTCTACAAGCTTTCTCGTAAATAATACATATATATGTTACACATATGCAAAAGACAAAATTTTAAGGTAATTTCTTTTTTTCATTTTACTGGAACATTACCAATTCTCTTTCGTATAAATGAGTTTTGTTGTTTCTTTATCATTAAATAGTAATTTCACACATAGATTCTCATTTCAGATTCAAAAGAAACTAAAAATAATCCAGAGTAAAGAACATTTTTCAAAACTTCTATACAAAATTTGCACATTT